CCTTACTGTTTGTTTTTGTTGCGCGCTTGGTCCCTGTCTTACATAAAAATATTATTTTGCCCTTGATTTTTTGTTTTATTTAAATAAACACACCCTAACCCCACTTCCACGTCACCTTACGTTACCTTACCTACCCAACTTTATTTAAATAGATTAAAAAATCAAGGGAAAATAGTCTTTTTAAGTAACACAGGGACCAAACGCGAAAATAAAACTGTAGGGACCTTCCGAGTTAAAAAAATAAGTTAAGGACCAAACATGAAAATTACCTCAAACCATAGGGACTATTCATGTAATTTACGCTTTTTAGGTTCTAATCACCATTAGAGTGGATTTCATCCGGTTAATTCTCTCATATTGGATACCACATGTAACGTTCTTATATTTTCTGGCTATACTATTTTTTATTAGAAATAATTAATTAAATAATAAAGTTTTAAATTATTTAAAAATAAGTGAATAAAACGAAAATATAATAATAATTGCATTTATTGGGTTGTGAAGTAACATCTATAATTAAATTAGATTGAACAGTTAGTTTAGCAAATATATAAAACTAAGGTTATGTATATATACCATAGGATCTATGTTTTAGTAGTTATAACAACCTAATTTTAAAATCAAACTAAAAATAGATAAAATACTAACCTCTTGTTGCTTTGATTGTGATCTCGTAACTAACATCTCTTGTAATGGATGAACGACCTAAAGTAGAATCTTTCTAATGTAGGTAGACCCACAACTCCAAAAAACTAATAAGGATTAACACCAGTGTAGGGTTTTTCGAAATTTCTATCGCTCTAAGAGAGGGGTTATAATTTTCGAAGAGAGGAGAGAGAAATAGATTGGACAGTATTGGGAGAAGGAATCGGCAACAAGGGTATCCTTCATAGTATTTTGCTTGGAATTTTTCCACGTTACTTACACTCGAATGTTGAGTCTTTCATAGTATTCTTCTTGGAACTTTTCCATGTTATTGCTCCTCAGTTTAGCATGAACACCCATCCCAACTCAGAACATGAGTTGTTCCTGTCAGTTTGGAAACTCACATCAGTGTACCCTGTAACTCTAAACTAATTTCTGCCTCCATATACTTAGTGCATATCCTTAATCTTCTCAAATACTTGAGGATATTATTTGTTGGATTAAGGTGTCTAAGGTCCTAACTAAATTGGTATAGTGTTGATGAATAAAAGTAAAGTCCTTTTTGGATTGCCCTCCTAACCAAGAAATGGCTTGGTAAATCATACGAGAGAGATAAATGATCTATTAATATATTATATGATTAATATATTAATTAGAAATAATAACAAATAATTAAGAATTAATCATAATTAATTTGGACTTAAATTTGGGTTAATTAGAATTAATTAAAGTTGCAAGGACTAAGTTGTAATTGTGCAATAGTTGAACAAAAGAGAGAATCTAGAACCCTCCTAAGGGGTGGACGGTTTAGCACCCTTGGATAGGGTTTGGAAGCCTCCAACTGATAAAAGGAAACTAGATAAATACTGATTTGAACTATTAATATTTTAAGTTCAAATCTAGGGTTTTTGGGATTATTAGGCAGCGATATAAAGGGGATTAATCCTTGTATTTTCGACCTAAGCATTACCACAAGAGAATTCTAAAAATTCTCCATCATCTCCCTCTCTCCTTTAATCCTAGGGTTTCTTGAGTTTTGGGTGTGACACATTATAGGCTACCATACTTTTGGAGCTAGTTTTTCAACGAGAATACAAAGGGTTTTTTTATTAGCTTAATTTGAATTATGCAAAAGGTATGTGGCTTTACTTATGAATTTGATTTCACAGGGTTTATAGTTTTTTTCATAAGTATGTTGCTATTAATAGTGAAAAGACATAGATCTCATTTAAGTTGCATGTACCCTTAAGGGTTAATTGAAATTTCATATGTACAATGTAATTATAACATGAATATCCCAATAGTGGTATCAGAGCTATGCATTTTCAATTGATAGTGCATAATAGATGAAACCTGAAAAACAAAAAGAAAAATTATTCGCAGGATGCGACGCGTCTTTCAAAAAATCGGATTTACTTGGATTGACTTGCCTAATTCGATTAGTAGGTTAATTATTAATATTTATCTGTAATTTTATCTGATAAAATCCAAACCAAATAATACTAGATAATTTTTAAAACCTAATTCGAATTTTGAGGAAGTAGATATGGAAACAAATATTTAATTATAAGATAATTAAATTGAATTATCCTTAATGAATTTTGATATAGTATTTAATTAATGGTTTAATTAAATGATAATTATCAAATCCATGATTGGTTTAAAAGATTAATTATTTAATTGTTTAATTTAGATAATTAAATTTAAACCTTGTGTTTTGAAAAGTTTTTGTTGGGTCAAAGTATATAGTGAGAGGTCGAAAGCCGTCAGAGTCTGTATCTGTCGAAAGTGATTGCGTTTCGACATGTTATCTATTTATAAGATAATATTGTTTCGATTCTTAATGTTTAGTCCTTGTATTTTTTTTGTCTGTTGTACCCTATAAATATGGTAAGTGCTAAGAGTAGAGGGTGAAGAACATAGCGTCATTACAAATATTGTACTCACTCTTTATTGTACTCTTCAGACATATATTGAGCCATTCATATATTATTTAGATCTTGTGTCTTTTACAACTTTTACATAATCAATTGTATCATTTATCGATTTCTATCACACATCAATTGGTATCAGAGCCGGATTCACACCATTAATTGAAGTTTTCTCGTATTTTTTTTATCTTTTTGAATCGCTATTTTCGATTCAAATATTTATGCAGATTGAAACAGGAAACTGGTGTCAATCGATTGGCTTGAATTGATTATGCAGTCTGTGTCTTAGATCAATTGATTTCTGATTGATTTCTTTCTTTTATTTATGTTTGAATAAAAAATATCTTTCTTCAAAATCCGTACAATAATGGCAAATTTCAATGTGAACACGATGACTAATTTCTCTCATTTGCTTGGATCGGAAACAATGATTCCAACGTTGATTCCAGAGTATTATGAACATAGGTTGATAGAATGGAAGACTATCTGAATGGTATTGATGAGGATCTGATGCGATCGATCAATAAAGGTCCATTTTTTCTTGAAATGTTAGTTAATATTGTAACTGTTGTTGTCACACCCCGCTAAAGCGGAAACACGGGGCGCGACAATACAAAGGGTCTCATAGCAAAAGTTAAAAGACAACACCAACCATAGTATTAAAAAGAATTACAATTTATAATGATTTTAAACAACTTTTTAAAATAAATTACAATGTATTTGAAAGACAACACATGCAAATGCTCCTACAAGTGTTGTGTCTCTACGTGCCTCTTACTAGATGATTCCTGAAAAAGCATGTAAAACGAGTGTCAACTATAAATGTAGTTGGTGAGTACTCACAGATTTAAAAATAATATTGGTTTCATGAATCGAAATCAAAGTTTTGATAAAAGTTTCCATAAATGAAAGTATATTGCAAAAATGAGTAAATAAGTTTGCATAAACAAAGTTCTTTGCCATTGTGATGAATAAAGTACGTTCCCCAAATGAGGTGCAACGTTCATATTCTCATGGGAAATAAAGTTCGTTATTAAAACGAGTAGCAAGTTTCATTGCTATGATGAGCAAACAAGTTCGTTGTTACAAGGAGCAAACAATTTCATTGCTAAAACAAGTATATAAGTTGCAGTAATAAAAGTTCATTGCTATATTGAGAAACAAAGTTCGTTGCTATAATGAGAAACAAAGTTCGTTGCTATAATAAGTAAGCTAGTTTGTATGTATATGAGCAAACAATGAGTTCATAACCAACCCTATGATTGATGCGCTGTCAAGATCTATGCTTATCGTTCCATAGATTATATGGTATCATGCACTCCAGCAATCGGGCGAGTGAGGAGTTGGCAATTCCTAATAGCGCTATCCATAATGACCATTGGCTTTAAGAGTTAATGGTTGGAGTAAAGTGTAAGGGAAGGGACTTAAGACGATAAGGCCTCATGTTTCAAGTTATATAAACATACATAGCATAATATACTAATATAGTAATCAAGTTTGATACAAATCTATTTAAATACAATGAACAATAGATGGTTTTTGGACATGCTTTTCCACCCCAAAACATAAAAACCGAAAAATAGGGGGTGTCGTGAATACTCACAATGCATTGAGATGATGAAAATGGTGCCTTGAACTACGTTCCACTTGTACCACTACTGATTCCTACAATATTGGTATACGCTAGTAAGTCTCTAATCGAAATCTAACACTAGTATACTTACTACTACAATAGAATTATGCCAATATTGTGTCAGAATTTAATATTGTTAAGTTACAAACATTTTTTTCACTACTAGAAAACAACCCTTTAATGACGTGCAAACAATGACACGCGCTGATAGAGGACGCGCATTTGTGCGTGCCCTAAAAAATAATGCCAGTTTTGCAAAATTTGAAGGATAGAGGACACACATTTGTGCGTGCCCTAAAACTAGTGTCCAACGAAAAAAAATTACAAACACGGAAGGCACCTAAATTAAATGGGTGTCGTGTAGAGATGTTGTTTTATAAAATTTTAATACGCGCGCCTCCTTTTTGATACAACTAAGGGGGAAAACCAAATCCCCAAAAAATTCAAGTACTCCGCCTTCCCCAAAAATCGGACCTCACAATATTTTTCATGTAGTCGGCGATTGGGGGTCTACGACTCCTCACACTCAAAACGTCGGCGAGTTTAAGGTTTTTTGTTCTCGATATCAAAGAAGAACTAGGGATTTTATGCTCTAGACCTCACAAGTGTGCACCCAAGAACTAGGGATTTTATATTGGCGTGTTCAGGCAGAACAACGATATCCGCCCTTCCTCCTCGCCATCCAACTAATTCTTCGTCATTTCCTTGTTGAATACATACTATCGAATCAAATCAGGTAGAGGAGGACCTCGAGGTGAAGCTATGTCACATATTATATCACGTCCCTACCCATGTCTCTAAGAAGGCTATGGTGTTTTTGTTTTCAGCTTGTTCAAAAACATCCATCTGATACTTGCGAGCATGCTCTTTTGGTACTTTTTCTTGGAATTATCATCATCGTTGTCTTTTTTTAACTCTCCTTGAAGGTTTTTGTCAACAGGAGGCTTGACATCTCTGTTACAGATAGACTCCCAAGAACCTGGACGAAAAACCATGTCATTGGTTCCCAACCAGTCGGCCTTTTGAGAATCCAAGGTGTTGGGTGATACATTGAATGAGCAAATCAAGATATTCCTGTTATTGTTTTTCGGTAAGTGACTTTTGTGGTCTCTTCTTTAAACCATAATGAATTTTTGTAGTTTGTACATTTGGGTATAACAATGTACGAAAAATCTTTTCTTCCTCCTCCAATTCACTGAGCTTTTCCTCATGCCTAACAAGCACAAGTACTCTGTCAGAGTCGCTTAATAAAAGAGAGAATATGTAAACATGAAATATTGTTATGTTACAATGATGAATTTAAGTGTAACATACAAAATCAAAGATTCTTCAAGTTGTTTTCCCAATGTTACAAATAGATTTCATGCTTGTAGCTTGAAGCCCTAGATTTAGGCTTTTCTGTGGGAGATCTTTTGTTGACTTTTCAACTGAATTGGATGGATCGACATCACACCTAAAGAAAGAGCACCTAAAGATTAATGGATGTGTGGATTTTCAAGATTTACATCAATTATTAAAGAGTAAATGGCACATTTGTAAAAGGGTTATTCTTCTTTAAACAAATAGAGCCTTAAAGCAGAATGATTTCAATATAGATACAAAATCTGAGTGCATTTTATTTTGGTCTCTTTCCCTTGATGCAGATTCATCCTTGGTTGGACCAATATTATGTGCCATTGTGGTTGAAATTGGTTCATTTCTTGATTTTATATTATCAGTATTCAAGCATTCCCTTTAAAGGCCATACTAATGAGAAGGTATGTACATTTACATTTACTACATTCTCTTAATGATAATATTATTCTGATTAATTTTCTCATTTCTTTTTGATTTTGTGTCTACTCAGAATTTTGCTGGTTTATATGTTGCTGATGGATATATTGCATGTGGTTCAGAAACTAATGAGGTATTATGCCCATGCCCCCTATTTCTCTTATCATTTTGAATTTTTCTTGAAATATGCAATTAATTGTGAGATGTATGTATGTACTATTTGTAGCTAGGTGTTTGCTTATTATAGATCGTTGCCTATACCTATCACAGTAGGTGGACAACATATCCCTTTTGGTGCTTCCCCACAAGACATTTAGACTGTATTAGGTCGACCAGATGGAATTATGGTGGTGTTCAAGACAAGCTTGAACAATCTGATCTTGTTGATGTTCAACAAGAAATCATGGCACATAAATTAGACAAGAAGGACACACTAAGATGTTACTCAAAATCATCACTTTTAGTCTCAAGTCCCCCTAGCTCTCCGACACATCTCTCTCATGATGAGCTGGATGATTCCTATGTTATACCTACTAGAGGTGATGGAAATGAGAATCCTGAACATGATGCGAATGATGAACCTGGAGAAGTTAGAGAAGTGACTACAATGGTAAGCAGGTGATGACGATGAAGAATGGAGCCTTGAGAATCAAGACGAGATGCAGGAACAATAAGAGTATGATGAAGATGATGATGGGTATGGTGAAGAAGATGAAGTTCATGAAGGAAACGATGAGAATATAAACCTGACACAGGAATTTCAGCATATGGGTATTGAAGAGAAAGACACGAATAAGGTGATGGAAAATTTAGTCTTGGGATTTAAAGAAGGTGTTGAAGTTAGAATCCCAGGTGATGAAACCGATGTGAATACAATTGGGACACCAGAAAAAAAACAAGATGCAGTTGATTCAGTCAATTCAGTGATTAATGATTCAGTTGTTCAGCCTCAAAATGCCACATCAGATTCTTCTGCCACTACACATGCATTACCTTCCATATCATTTCAGACAGATTTACCAGTCAAACACCAGTTTGGCTTGTTTTCTGGGCCTTCTTTATTACCATCTGCTGTTCCAGCCATACAAATTAGATCCATACAGATGCCTCTTCATATCCATCCACCTGTTGGTTCATCAATGGTCCACCTACACCACCAATCACAACCTCCTCTTTTCCAATTTGGTCAACTAAGATACACATCTACTGTTTCACAAGGAATTCTTCCAATAACTTCACAAACCCATTTCACTTGTTCAACCAAACATTTACCAAACCCATTTCAACCTGGATCAGACGTCAAATTTCGGAACTTTACCTAACCAGTTCTCTCAAGAAACCATGAAAAAATACAATCATAAGAATTGGTCAGGGGGTTGACTGGCATTGCATCCAAACCAGTTACACAAACCGAAGAGAAGCTACATTGCACTCCTGGTAATACATTTTTATCATTCTTTTAACGAAAACATCTTTGAGATTTGTTTGCAAATGCAATAATCTTGGAACAACGGTTCTTTAAAAGATTTAGGAAGAAAGTTTTTTAATTCAAAATGTGATGATCAGGTACCAAAGATGGAGAGACAACAGACAATGGTGTTTTATATGCATGGAATATGCAAAAATCAAACATGGGATAAGGTATTATTCTGAATGATGTTTAATGCACCAAATGATTTGATTCTAATCATCAGTTTTGATGATAAGTTGTTCTCATTAATTAGCATTTTCTTTTGCCTATTTCAGGTAGGGGAAGTAACTGATGGGCCTGATGATGGCAATGCCATGAAGCGCCCAGTTCTTGATGGATTATAATATGATTATGGTGAGCCTTTTGAATTTATTTCATATGCTTAGTTTTTTATTCTTTTCTACCGATACCACAAAAACTTGTAAATCAGTGTTTGATGTGGATATTGGAGAAGGTGAACCTGTTCTTAAATTTTCATATAACAGATCAGGTACTTTTTTTTATATCAAGATATGATTTGGTAACATAATGGATCATTATTAAGAAAAAAGATTAATTTGCAAAAAAGTTCCTTGTGTTTTCAATTTTGGTCTTCATTTCAAGGTTTCATGTCGATTTTGGTCCCTAGAATATTGAAAAAAGGACCAAAATTGATATGAAATCTTGAAATAGGGACTAAAATTTATATAAAACCTTGAAATCAGAAATTCCTTGGGATCAAGATCGATATATGTAGAGTTATGAGATAATTATTATTATCTGGTTAGTTAGGAATTGTTTCCTTGATCCGTTTTAATTAGGAAAATTGAAATGTTCATTGTTGGACTGTAGAATTGAAAAATGTTCCAATTTTGAAGTAAAAATCAAGAAGCACATTGGATTAAATTATGTATTTCTGAAGTAATTTATTTTTTTTATTTAAATTTTAAAAAAATATATAATATTATGAAAGTGAAATGATTAAATTATGTATTTTTAATCTTTAGGTGTCACTTGCCTACGTTATATATTGGAATGGAGTACATGCGAACCCACAGCTTCAAACTCGCTGATCAGGTGATAATTGCTATATCACATTCTTATCAAAATGACTAAAATACCATTTTCTTTATTTGGTTTGATGTAATTTATCTTTTTGGTTGTGTATAGTTTTGTATGAAAGCAAAGGCAATATGCCCTTCGGATCCTGGCAGAAAGTCAGTTCATGGGTAAGTTTGTCTTTTCTCCATTGTCCCCCTCTTGCCAAATCAGCATGTGATGTTTAATTAGGCAGAATGAGCAACTTTCAAAGTAGGGGACACCAAATCAGCATGAAGCATTACATTGGTTGAACTGAAAAGGCTTATAGAAGCAAACCCTTTGTTTAGAGAGAAGCTAACTCTTCCTGTATTTAAATTTTCAAGGTTGTGTGCATTGATAAATCAAAGGTCCTTAGCCCTCTGCATTCTTAAATATTATTATTTTGTGTTACAATTTGTGACCCTACGAGTCTTGGATGTTTAAAATATAATACCCTGGACATTTGAAATATAATACCCCCAAAAATAACTGAATGTTTATAAATAAATTGTCGTTTTGACCAATAAACTATGAGAAGAAATTACAAAACAGTCCATGTTCTTATATAATTTAATTTTAATCGTAAATGCATAACTTGTGAGTTTGGCTGTTATTTTCGGACTATTAAAAATCATGTACAATTTATGAATTTGATTCGTAATTCTTTTTGACATAGTTTGTCAAAAATCTATAATTGTGTGTTGGTAAGGTGTCTAAGTCCATAACTATTTCTAGTATGTACTTGACCCGTTGGCATGGTCCATTTGGGTTGCATGGCATCATGATAATTGGATAGACAAAATGAGAAGAAGGACAATTATGATTTGTTAATATATTATAAGTTATAATATATTAATATGAAATCATATTATTTAATTAGTATTGATCAAGAATTAATTTGGAATTAATTTTGTGATCAAAAAGAGAATAATTAAATATATGAGATTGATTGTGTAAATCATACAATCTTATATAGTGAGCTAATGATCTATGGTTTAGTGGATTGGGCAAAAACCCATAGGGTGCTCCATGGATGCTACATGGAGGTTAAAACCCATGGATCATAGAGGAAATGAAAATCCATGTCAATTAGGGTTTACATGGTGTAACCCTACTTGTGACACACTATATAAAGACCCCATAGGCTAGCAAAATCGACACTAAGACAAAAACAAGGAGGGTAGCTGATTTTTGAGTGAAAGTGTTCTACTCTCAAGTTATTCTAAGAGTTGTGGTGTTGTGTGAAACATTTGAGGCATCACATTTGGGGTGCTAGGCTCACAAGGTCTTAAGGAATCCAAGCAACTACAAAGGTATGTCATTCTACTAGTTTTTTATATTACAAGTACCCCATGTCATGCTAGTTAGGATGAGAACCTTGGAAAATCAAATTTGCATGTATATTAGAGAAAACATAGATCCAAGGTTTCTAGGGTTGCATGTACACCATAGGAGTGTTAGAATGATCAAAACCCATCAGTGCTATCAGAGCCTAAGCTTGTTTTCTGTATAGTTGATGCAAAATGCTTGAAAAAGTCAAAAATTCTACTCACTGTTCAGTGAACTCGCCGAGTCCATAGGGGGACTCGACGAGTCCATTTGTTAATTCATCCTACTCGTCGATTAGGTTCTTGCACTCGACGAGTAGGAGGCCCTGTGTGCAGTTTTTCGAGTTTTGCTGTTGGAAATGGACTAGAATCATTACCCTAAACCGTTTTGGACTTATAAAACCTGTTTTTGATGTGGTAATGATTATGCTAATCCATTTACAATGGTTATTATCAAATTTTAGTTTTATATATGTTTATATGATTCTTGAAATTGTTGATATGAATGTTCATGCTTATGAGTTTTGGTAGATCATAGGAATTATTGCAAATTGTTTGATGATGTAATTCTTGATCTAATGTATTGATGGAGTCCATAATTTGTCCTCAAGTTATGGATTACCAAAAGTCACTTTCTTTAAAGAGTCATTAAAGAACCATAGGTTAAATAATTGAAGAGTCTTCATTTTAATAGACCATTAAACTCATAAGTTAGAAGTTGAAAAGTTTTGAATAGTTTCAAAACTTGCCTTCAAGTTTTGGATTTGTAAAGTCACTTAGAAAATTTAATTCCAAACCCTAGAGTTTAAAAGTTAAAATTAAACCCTTATACTTTATAGTATTATAAGTTAATATATTATATATATACACACACACACACACATATATATATATATATATATATATATAGATATATATATATATATATATATATATATATATATATATATATATATATAAGATCAAGTCAATCTTACCGTTAGTAGGCCTCATTCACGAAGTCGGTCTATAAAGGGGGGGGGGGTATAAGGTTGTTGCCTATAAAATGGCAGCTTAATGGGTGTCCACTCCCACCCACCGCTTCCTTGACTGGTGGAGGGTCGTTAGCCGAACGGGTAGGACAATGACTTTAATTTTCATTAAAAGTATAATGATTATTATAAAGTAACTAAATGTTTTATAAATTCTCAATCTTAGTTACTTTAGGAAAATGTGAATTTGGTGCTAACCCATGAAATTACACTTTGCACCTTGCTTAAGTCGTTAGTGGAGCGTGTGTGGTTAACCGGCACATTAACTTGGATTTAACAAGGGTTGGCAAAGGGTGGCTTAAGGTTTATCATAGATCGGTGGAGCGCGTGTGGTTAACCGGCACATCGATTAGGTGATAAAATTAAGAGTACCAAGTTAATTTGCATGGTTATTCACACATTGGTTTTGTGATCCTCGGCATCCCAGTCACCAAACTTGAAGGGCACAATCGAGATTGAAACATGCCATTGAAAAGTTCAATGAATCTCAAAAGAATCTAGGAGTTTCAAAACCAATTAAAACCTAATAATACATTTCGTTTTCATGGTGGAAATTGGTGAATCGTCATTCACTTACCTTCAAATATTTTATAGCTTGGATTACGGCATCCCTCTTCTAAGTTATAAAATATTGTGTTGGGTCCTAGCCTTAATATTACATTTGGGTGTCTTATTAAGGACTATCTATATATATCTAATCTAAACTTGTCCTTCTTTCTTTTCAGATGTCTTCCAACAATGTTGCTTCTAGGTCAAATCCTACCGGCTCCTTCTCTCTCATGAACCTTTGTGGGAGAGTCATCTTTGATGGGACTAATTTCAATGATTGGATTAGGAACATAAGGATGGTCATTCGCTATGAGGACAAGGAATATGTCCTCGACAAGGAGCTGAAGGAACTTGATGAGTCGTCTGCTACTCCAGAGGATATCGCTGACTTCAGGACTCATGAGAGAGATGCCACTAAAGTGACATGTATCATGCTGGCCACGATGACAGCCGAGCTCCAAAAGTCCTATGAGGACTTTTATCCTTTTTGAGATGCACCAGGATTTGATGAAAAGATACCATCAGAGTGCTCGTCAAGAGCGATATGAAATAATCTCCTCCATGATAACAACCCGAATGAATGATGGTGAACCCATCACGGGCCACATGCAGAAAATGCAAAGGTTTGTGGACCGTCTGATGAAGTTGAATGTGAACTTCCCCGAGGAGTTGGCAATTGACATCATATTGCACTCCTTACCTACTTGTTATGATCAGTTCCGAATGACCTATCATATGAACAAGGAGCAGGTCACACTCAACAAACTTCAAGGACGTTTGAAGACCGTCGAAAGTGGTCTTAAAGGTAAATCGGTTGTTACCACTCCTACTCCTACCACCACCCCTGTTCTGGCCATCGGGCAAGGTACAGGGAAGAAGAGGAAGAGCCCTTCGAAGGGTACCAAGGGAAAGTCTCTTGATGGCTCCTCTTCAAGTAGAACCAAAGGTGGTTCTGTCACTCCTTCTGCCAACCCTAAAGAGGCTGAATGCTTCTATTGCCATGAAAAGGCGCACTGGAAACGAAACTGCCCCAAGTACCTGCAAGATGTTAAGGATGCGAAGGTCAAGCCTACCCATGCAGGTATTTACACTATATTGTCTAATAACTCACCACATACTACTTCTTGGGTTCTTGATACAGGTTGCGATATTCATATATGTTCTGATTTGTAGGGCCTAAGAAGAAGTGAGGATGTGGAGCAAGGAAAGATAAACTTGATCATGGGGAATAGGAAAGCTTCACCTGTCACCAAGATTGGAGTTTATTCTTTGTTGCTAAGTAGTGGGTTAGTGTTAGATTTGAATAAGTGTTGTTACTCGCCTGAAATGGCGAGAAATATTATTTCTTTTCACGGTTTGTACAAACAAGGGTTTACT